TAACTGCATAGCAACATTCCCGCTCAGAACAAATTAGCAACTGGATAACTACATATTTGTAAAAATGCCCAAACACCTTAGCAACCGCATAGCAACACCTTGTCAACTAAAGGGAACAGCATAGCATTGCACGGCACAATATATTAGTCTAGTTGATATTTAGTCATTCCAAATCAGTGCGATCTTCAGTTTATCTTCCTGTTTTCCCTTCATTAACTGATCCAGTGTGTGGATCTCTCGTGAAGCACTCGAGTGGACAGCCCGAAGTTTAACTGAGCAATTCAATGTCATATAAGACTCATATAAAGTGAGGTCTAGAGTTCAGCTGACGGTCATAAAGCAGTTCCAGCTTTTACAGCGGCATCCAGTGAGAGATGCAGGCAGAGCGGAGCATATGGCGTCCCATCTGGGGATCATGTCCTGTTCGATTCGTTCACGGGAGCCAGTTTGTAACGAACGCTAGACAAGACGCCACCGTCCGCACGCACTACACTGCTGTTGTGTTTCCTTTTACATGTCAGTCTGTCCATCAAAGCTCTCAGTGACGTGATTCTTCTGCTGTCGCCCCGTCGGTTTAGCTTTCAAGTTGAGCGTACGTCCTCCTCTGCCTCTTTAAATCTCTTTTCTGTCTGTATAGGGGCCGCGTCGGCCCTTATAGCGGCTCCATTAGCCGTAGTTTCATGAAGCATGTGTTCTTCTATACAGCAGGGTAATTACGTGAGGTGATTACATGCATTCTGAGAGGCTGAACAGATGAAAGTGCTGCAGTGATTGTGAGGAGAGGCCCGTCTTTAACATGTCTGCCATTTACAGCTACAGGCTTTAACGCGCTGAACGCTGGAATCTGTACAGAGGTTTGAATAGTCACTCTAATTCTGAGCTGACAGTGTTATTTAATATTTATAACATTTATTTATACTATTTTGAATTGGCTTTTATTTGTATATTTTCAGATTTCATTTTAAATTCGTTTTTAATTTTGTTTCGTAATTTTTCTTAGTTTTAGTAGTTTTTATTTGTATTAGATTCATTGGTCTGTAAAAAATTACCTACCTATTCTGCTAGAGAGAGAGAGATGATAGATAAAAATTGCTTGGAACTATCGCGGGGAAAAAATCGCGAACTATCCGAACTATCGCAAAAAAAAAGTGCTCAGAACTATCGCAAAAAAAAAGTGCTCAGAACTATGGGAAAAAAAAAAATCACTCCCAACTATTGCAAAAAAAAAAAAATTGCTCCGAACTATTGCAAAAAAAAATTGCTCAGCACTATCGCAAAAAAAAAGTGCTCAGAACTATCGCAAAAAAAAAAAATCGCTCCCAACTATCGCAAAAAAAAAAAAATTGCTCCGAACTATCGCAAAAAAAAAGTGCTCAGAACTATCGCAAAAAAAAATTGCTCCGAACTATCGCAAAAAAAAATAATCGCTCCCAACTATCGCAAAAAAAAGTGCTCAGAACTATGGAAAAAAAAATTGCTCCGAACTATCGCAAAAAAAAAATATTTGCTCCGAACTATCGCAAAATTAAAAAAAAATTTGCTCCGAACTATCGCAAAAAAAAAAGTGCTCAGAACTATCGAAAAAAAAATTATCGCTCCCAACTATCGCAAAAAAAAACATTTGCTCAGAACTATCGAAAAGAAAAAAAAAATTGCTCCGAACTATAGCAAAATTTAAAACAAATTTGCTCCGAACTATCGCAAAAAAAAGTGCTCAGAACTATCGAAAAAAAAAAACGCTCCCAACTATCGCAAAAAAAAAATTTGCTCAGAACTATCGAAAAGAAAAAAAAATTGCTCCGAACTATCGCTAAAAATAAAAATTGCTCGAACTATCGCTAAAAAATAAAAATTGCTCGAACTATCGCTAAAAATAAAAATTGCTCAGAACTATCGCTAAAAAACCCCGCTCAGGATAGATAGATTGACTGACAGACAGACTGTTTATAGTCTCTTCGTGGTCTGCTTTCGTTCCGCTCTCACAGCGTGACCTTTGACCTCATCAATAGGGTCAGCTTCCTGTGGTCTGTTGTTTGGGTTGATCTGCTTCAGTGTGAAGAGGCAGGAATTCTCTGAAATTCACATCAGCCAGACAAATCCAATTAAATACATTCGACACAAAATGAGCACATGCTGGATCTCTCTAGAGTCAGAGTATGACTGCTCAGTCTGTACCTCGTCATCTGTCTTCTTCATTTACAGTCTTGCACTGTACTCAGATATTCTGCAGCAGTGTAATCTCTATTTAGGGCCAAATAACATTCAAGTTTACTTTGTTTTTCTGTTGTTTCAGTCCAATAGGTTAGATAATTTTCTTTTTGTGCTTTTATAATTTGGTTGGGCCGAATTTTGTGAATGAATATTTCAGAGTCCTGATGCTGGATGTTGTTAGTCATGTTAGTCTGTTTCTGCAGCTTCAGGACCGTCTGAATCAGGGGACTTTTTTGAGGGTTTAAAATGGTAACAGTTGGGGTCACTCATTTTTAAGTGTTTCCAAAATTTGATGGCTCTTTTCTCAATGCGCATTAGTAGAGGGTATCTCTCTCTCTCTCTCTCGCTCTCTCTCTCTCTCTCTCTCTATGATCTGATGCAGCAAAACTCTGCACATCCTCAGAAAAATCATTTCTATTACCCTTTCTGACTCTCTCTCTGTGTGCTTTGAAAATGTGAACTATTTCTCACCAGTAGGCGGCAGCAGTTCTTAAATACAGACAGAAACATGTTCACCCATTCACAAACACTGCCAATATATTAATAATTACACATTAATAAAAAATAAACACATTTTTCCAACATCTAAATATCACATATATTATAAATAACAATGTATATATGTGTACAACAATAATATTAATTGTAATATATTTAAATATTATATAATATATATTTAATTAGAATATATAATATAATAAATGTTGATCAATTTATAATAAAATACAGTAATAATAGTAAATAATGATGAGTTTGCTATTTAATATTATTATTATTATTAGAAGTAGTAGTATTAAAATGAGTTGACAAATAATGTATTTAAAATAAACTATTTTGCTCAAGTATAAATAATATATATTATAAATATTTTTCGGTATATTTGTATGCAAATTTCCCAACTTTTTAAACGAAATGTGTTTTCATGTCATGACTGCATCATAAACATTTGTTGTGTGTGTGAGTGAGTGAGTGTGTGTGTGTGTGTGTGTGTGAGAGAGAGAGAGTGTGTGTGTGTGTGAGAGAGAGAGAGAGAGAGAGAGTGTGTGTGTGTGTGAGAGAGAGAGAGAGAGAGAGAGTGTGTGTGTGTGTGAGAGAGAGAGAGAGAGAGAGAGTGTGTGTGTGTGTGAGAGAGAGAGAGAGAGAGAGAGTGTGTGTGTGTGTGAGAGAGAGAGAGAGAGAGAGAGTGTGTGTGTGTGTGAGAGAGAGAGAGAGAGAGAGAGTGTGTGTGTGTGTGTGTGTGTGAGAGTGTGTGTGTGTGTGGGTCATTCTTAATGTGAATTGACCTGCTCGCCTGGCGCCAGTGTGTGTGTGTTTCTTTAAATGAGACTTCATAGCACAACAACACAAACACACGACTCTAATTCCATCTGTTACACTGTAACTTTATCATCTCTGCGTCTGATGTCTCAGTCTGATGGTGCGTGTTACTTTGTTTTATGTTTGCGCAACACAATCACCTTTTTCCTGCCTGGTCTTTTTTTTTTTTTTTTTTTTTTTTAAAGCGACAGGGTGTCTAGACAATCACATGACCCCCGACGCGCCAATGAGAGACGCGGAGACACACAC